GTGGCTTGGGGCACGCGTCAGCACCCGCCGCGCTGTCGAATGGCGGGGGGGTGCAAGACATGGCCTTGGACTTGAGTAAGGAGCCACCGCCGCCCATGATGCTCGACTGGCCCGACAATCGGCTGCGATATCGCAGCCCTCTTTTGCGGTGTGCTTGCAGGCGGTTCAGTTTCGAGCCTCCCAGGATGGCGCGGGGGCGCCAGTTCGGATTTGCACGCTGTCCACGCGTTGTTGCGCACGCTTCGCACCGACGAGCCGCGCGAGGGCATGCGCGGCGGTCGGTGCGGGCAGATCCCCGGCGGAAGTACTGGACAATAGTACTGATCTACATCGTAAGGGATCCTAGGAGCAAGCATTCGGCCCTCGCCGATTAGCACAGACATCGCGTCTCATCATCGCCGTCATCGGGGGAGGGGGATCATCAGGAAACAGCAGTAGCGCTGGATCATGAGGGGCGGGGGGGGGGGGGGGCGAGACTATGGGGGGCGATCTGACACCAGTCAGATTAGAAACGCATATAGCGCATCCCCCCGCCACCATTATTCTTTCGCCGTCTGCCCCATCGGGCGCCCCTCCCGTCGCCTTCCTCCTTTCCCGTTTTCTCTCCTGTCGAATTGCGAGGCGTCTCGAGCAAGACCGCCGCCCCGTCGAGAAACGAAACCAAGGAGGGGTTCCTTGCAAACGTTCCGGACGAATGTTGGAGCAGTTTACTGGATTTCTTGCGACCTGTTCGGGATCCTCTGCTGGTGTCTCGCTCCCTCGAGCCTCCTGTTAGATATGCTTCGTTGTTTTTTGGTTCGGGGGGCGCCCGAGAGTTCGCAGCTTCGGACAGCGTCGCAGGCTGGCGTGTCCGGTAGGGCAGTTGAGTCTTACACATCGGGCAAAGGGGTGCCATTGGGTGGAGTGGCGAGCGCGCGTTGTATGAGAGGGGCGTTTCCGTTGCATCGAGTCCGCGACGCGGTGCGCACTTCTGTCGGACAGGTGGGGGGCGCGCCTCGCCAGTCACAGCGGCTTGCTCCCTTGGTTGATAAGGAGGTTGGGGTCAGGGTGGCGTAGCGGCGGCATCGCTCCCAGGCCTTGTCGCCGCCCATCAACGCAACGAAAGTGTCACGAAATTCGGTTTGCAAACGCGGTGTCGATGTCACAGAAGCGCGTTGTGGTCCTAGGCAATAGTTTAAGGGCTTCGCCCTCTGCCGCCCAGCCGCGCGGCTGCGCGGATAGCACCGTGGACGTTTCTTGCGGCAGGCTTCTCGGCGGCGTCTTAGGGCAACAGTGGAGCTTAGCTGGGGCCGTTTTGGAGTCTCCTGAGCATATGTTCAGCCTCTTGGGGGTCTCCTGGAGACTCTGGGGGAGAGCATGCTGCTTCGCCTGGCGTTGACGCCAATGAGGGAAACAATGGATTGGATCCGTGAGTGCATCAATCTGGTGCCATGAATGTAGAAACTATGATGCCTCTTTGTGATTGTGAGTCGGCTCATGATGCCAGTCCCTGCCCACCCTGCCCCGTCTCCAGGGACTTCGCATCCCCCTATGGCGGTGGGATGGGCAGACGGTCCGCCGCCCACTGCGCCGCGCGCACTGCGCAGGGTTGGTGGGGATGTGGAGTGAAATCAATGAGGCCCTCCATCCCCGACCCCTATCCCTTCCCCCCTTCCTTTCCTGGTCCTGTCGGAGAGCGCGTGGCCCTGCAGGGTTGCTAGAAAGCCAGGGGGGCCACGGTCTATTAAGTCGTCTGGCCGACTTGCCTCAGCCCCCCATGGTCGGCCCCCGCGTTGTCCGTTTCCCGGCGGCCTCCAACCCAGAGGGGGAAAAACGCAACATAACGTCACCCGGGATCTTGCTTCACTAGGTCGGGTGCGTTTTATTTTCTCCGCGAGTATTTTCTTGGTCTTGTCGGAGAGCGCATGGCCTTGCAGGATTGCAAGAAAACCGGGGGGGGGCCCATTCTGTTGAGTCGGTTCCCGCGTTGTCCGTTTCCCGGCGGCCCCCAACCCAGAGGGGGAAAAAACGCGACATAACGTCATCCGGGATCTTGCTTCACTAGGTCGGGTGCGTTTTATTTTCTCCCTGAGTAAGGGCTAACTTACTCGTCGCGCACAAGGGGAATCAGCATGCGTGCGTCGCCACTGTCGGAGGAAACGCGCCTGTGGGGCGGCGGAGAGATGGCAGCAATCCCAGGTTTTGTCGCCGCTCCCCTGCGCAACGAAAATGTCACGAAATTCGGTTTGCAAATGCGGTGCCGATGTCGCAGAGGCGCTTTGTGGTCTTAGGCAATATCTTAAGGGCTTCGCCCTCTGCCGCAAGCCCCTTGTTACTAGTGCACGCGGCGGCGTGGATAGCGCCGTGGGTGTTTCTTGTGGCGGGATTCTCGGCAGCGTCTTTTGGCGACATTGGAGCTTGTCTGTGATCGTTTTGGAGCCTCGTGGGGCATATGTTCTGCCTCCCGGGGGTCTCTTGGAGCCTCGCGGGGGTCTGTTGGGGTCCTCTTGGGGCCTCTTGGGGCCTGCTTGGGGCCTCGCGGGGCCCTGTCGGGGCCTCAAGGTTTGAATTGTTTGGTTCGTGGGTTCCTTTCGGGGTTTCTTAAACTGCTTCAGAGCCTGCTGGGGTCGTCCTGGGAGCCTCTTGGGCCGTCTTGGGGCTCTTCTCGGCCGTCTTGGGGCCGTCTTCGGGGCCGCCTGGGCTGCCTTGGGGGCCTCTTCGTTTATCATGGGGCGACTGTGTGAACCTCTTGGTCCGTTTCGGGGCGTCGGAACGCCGAAGTGGCGAGAACGCGAAAACCTTTGAAACACCAGATGGACATCATAGTGTTTTGCTTCTTGGGGCCCCCTTGGGATGCCTCTTGGAGACGTCCTGGGCCGTCTTGAGGCCATCGAGGGCTGCGTCGGGGCACCCTTGGACCGTCCTGGCCTCTTGCGGCGATTTTCGGAGCCTCTTGGAGCAATCTTGGAGGCCGTTCTGGCCGACGCTGGCGCCGCCATGAGAATCTCGAGGTGGATGGGGAGGGGGCCAGGAATTTGAGGCCCCCCCCGCTTCCGCTGGCAATTTTGTGGCGCAGCGGGCCCACTTGCAGACAACAGCAGGAAGCATGACACAGAGCAAAATAACCACATTGCAACATACAGCAGCGCCTTCATAGACTGGCGCCCCCAGAGAGGGCTGGCGGATTTGTCCAGACTGGGCCATCTCGAAGCACGGGGGCCGAGTGCGATCTTGAACAGCTGTTTGAATTTCCGCCCCCGGGGGAGCCGCCCGTGCCGCTCTGCACGCTCGGCGGGAACATCGCACCAGCGCGCGTGGACATACAGCGTCGCCATCGCCATGCTCATCCGTGCGCGTTTTCCACGCCGTCCGCTGCCGACCCCCAGCCCAGTCCTGAGCGGCAGCATTCAGGCATGCTACGCCGTCGGCGATGGAGCCCCATGGAAATCGACTGTGTCCCACCTTCGTGGCCCGCAGCACGTCGCAGCTGAATTCAAGGGGGCCCTGGGGCGGCAGCGTCCAAATAATGCAGCGCCGAACCCGGTCATCTTCCTCCACTCTTCCCTGCCCCCTCCTCCTTCCCGCTCCCTACCCATAGCCGTATGCAGCTCAAGCGGGTTCAGTGCCGTCCAGCGGGCGACCGAAATATCAACGCTGGCCGTAATTATGTGCAGTGGTTTGGCGGCGATCCTAGATGCGTCAGTGTTGCGCCCGCGTCGCAAGGCCACGCGTGAGTTCAATTACTTATCGTGGCCTGCCGCCGCTCCAGCTGAGGAGTTGCGTTGGGAAGTCCGTCGGATTTTTCCCAGCGTGGGATTTGAGGAGCGGAGCCATGCGACCAAGACTTCGGTTGTCTTTAAGGAACACGAGGCGCACATGGGTTTGATGGCTCAGCGATTCAATTGGGACATCAAGGGGTGCAGAGGACTCACGGAGCATGCCGCTCGAAGCAAGAGGGGTGCGAGGGACATCGAAACTGAGGCTCCTGAGCAAGAGATTTGGGTCAATACTGGCATGATGTTAAGTTTGTTGATGCATTGGTCATGGCATCGGACATCTCCTTTGGACAGGCAGCTGGCAGAGGCGATCGGCGTTGCACTATTGGAGAAAGCGGCACCACCAGCTGACTGCAGAGCATTCGCCGTCGCTGCCCTTTGCGACGGAGACCGCATGCTGTGCAGGAGGGGCTGTCAGGATTCCGAGGCTGTCTTCGTCTGCATGGGCGGCGCGACGCAGGCGCCGGGGCGGGCGGGCGACTGCAGGAGCGTACAGGAGAAACTTTGGAAGGAGATGGGCACGTTTTTCAAATTCGGCGAGGGCTGCGCTTGCTGCGCAAGAGTGGCGGGGCATAGCCTCGCCAGGGTGGCTGGCGTGATCGAGGGGTGCCGCGACGACTGGGGTGACTTCGATTTGCTGAAGTCCCGCGGCGCGCAGGTGACGAGCCGTTCGGGCAAGCGTCGGCGGATGGGCCCAGGGATCATGGCGGCCGTGGTGGAAGCTTCGAGGAGGGGCGTGGCTGCCAAACCCTCCACCGCGGTAGCTGTCACGCAGCTTGGCGGGGGCAACGCTGCTGCCAGGTGGTCGGAGGAGGCGCTCGCTGCGCTTCAGGCGGAGTGCCGGTTACGCACGCAGCGCCCTTGGATCCTGAGTTGCTGCATGGACGCCGCGCAGATCGGGAAGTCGCACAAAGAGATCTTGCTCATGGCCCAGCATTCGTCGCACGGCAACGTCAGCGTGATCCCCCCCCCAAGGACACCGGGATCTGAAACTACATTCTCACGTTGATTTCGTTACTTTCTCGGAACGACAGTGTCGTGTGAGTTCGTCGTGTCCAACGACAGCGTCGTGCGCATGTTGGTGTGGCAGTCTGGTTTTTTTCTGTTGAGGAGCGACAGTGTCGTGTGATTCGGTCGGATCGAGCGACAGTGTCGTCCGCGCTTGTGTTGGGGAAATCGAAACAAACTGGGGTGCGCCCCTGAAGCCGCGAGGTTTTTTCTGCCCCTTGGGGTGAGGCCCCTCAGGAGCTGGGGTTCTACAAGCACGTGCTGCCGTCGAAGATCAGCAGCGTTGAGGCGCTCGCCGCCGCCGCCCCCGTCGCGGAGTCAGCCCTTGCTTCGGCCCGTCCCCTTCTCGCTGCAGAGAACGCGGCGCGCTCAGCTACGACGTCTTCTGGCGAGGCGTCGTCGGCTTCCAGGCGACGGAGAGCATTGTTGCCGGAGGAGAACCGCCAGTCCAACAGAGAGATCGTCGAGGCGCTGGATGACGCCATGCGTGATTTGAACGGGTGGGGTCTTGACGCGTTCTGTTTCGGCAGGGAAGTTCGCGCGCTTCCTCGCGGGGCAGAGCGGTATTTCGTGAAGGTCAAGGACCTGCTTACGGGGGGCACCAGAAATCGCGCTGCGATTAAGCTGGAGGACGACGCGAAATACTACGAAGTGCCCATGGCCATCGTGGGCGGCAAGCACTATCGCCCAACGCTCCACCTCAGCCAAGACATGTGCGCTGCGAGCTGGCATGCTGGCATGGCGTTGATGCGCGGTTCGCTTCGAGGGACGACGTCGTGGGACAGGTTCCACAGGATCATCTGCGACAAGGAGGAGGCGACGCAGCAGGCTGGTTTGTTGGTGATTCGCTTGGAGTTTGCCGCGGCGAACGCTTTGCGGAGGGAGCCGCGGGGAAAGGAGGGCAACCACAGGGTCCTGCAGTCCGCGACGGACGAGTTCTTCCGACTCTACTCTGCTGATTCCGAGGTCTTCAGTTTGTTCTGCGACGAGATTTGCGACAATTTCGGCGAGGACCATTTGTTTCGAGGCTCCCCAGACCACGTGGCGCAAGTTTGGCGGAAGGCCGACGCAACCCTCAAGGGCGCTTCGAGCGGGGAGGAGGCTATGAACAGCCGGTGGTGGTCAATTGAGGAAGAGGCGAGGCGATCCAAGTCCTTGCGCGGCTGCAATTGCATGATCCTCACGCACCTTGGCATGAAGCGGGGCTGGTGGAAGGATTTCAGCAGCATCCCGTTGCTGGGCGACATGGAGGCATCTTTGGAGGAGACGGTCGATCCAGATCCCGCGGGTCTCGAGGGGCTCGAGGGTGCAGACGTTGCCGCTGTTGCGGCCCTTGCGAGCGCCGGCCACGTGGGCGAGCCTTCCGCGAAAGCCTTGTCGGCGAAGTCCGCGCGTGAGCAGATCAGGCTTCGCCGGGAGCAGTGCGTGTCCCATCTTCAGTACTCGTGCCGCGTGCTTTCATCGAGGCGGTCGTGCATGCTCTTCGATGGGATGGAGTTCTTGACGAGGGAGGTTGAGAAGAGGTTCAACTTGGAAATCCAAATCAGCAAGACGTTTAAGGGGACATTGGAACTGCAGAAACAGCTTGTGCAGGGTGACATGTACGATGTGTTAGCGGCCACTTTGAAACGCTTCGCATCTAAGGAGTTTTTGCTTGCTATCTACATGAAGCACGTCTTCGAGGAGCCTCGCATCACGGCGTTCAATAAGCAGATCGTTTCTAGTTTGTGGTTATATTCGGTCAGATTGTTGGGGAGCCTGGCATTGAGTCAGACAAAATACGAGGTCCCACCGAAGCTCTTCGTCGGTCTGATCTCTGATGACCTCGTATTTCGCAAGACGACTCTTCAGAAGCTCAAGGCATTTTCCGAGCCATTGGAAGCCTTCGAAGCGAAGGCCCACGACAAGGCCACTATCTCGGAGATGGTTCGCTGCATGGAGTGGCCACTCAACGGGTGGGTGCGTGAGAACACGTCGCATCTCAAGGGCTTCGCCTTCTGCCGCCAACCTCCTAGTTATTAGTGCGCGCGGCTGCGTGGACTGCGCTGTGGATGTTTCTCGTTGCGGGCTTCGCGGCAGCGTCTCCGGGCGAGCTCGGAGTCCTCCTGGCGTCCTCTTGGAGCCTGTGGTGGCATATATTCAGCCTCGCGGGGTCGCTTGGAGCCTCTCGGGGGTCTCCTGGAGCCCTCATTGGGCCCTGGGTTGATAAGGGGGTTGGGGCCAGGGTGGCGTAGAGACGGCATCAATCCCAGGTTTCGTCGCCGCTCCCCAGCGCAACGAAAATGTCACGAAATTCGGCTTCCACGTGCGGCGTCAGCGTCGCAGGAGCGCGTTGCATGCTTAGGCAATATCTTAAGGGTTTCGCCCTTTGCCGCCAGCCCCTCGTTACTGGCGCGCGCGGCTGCATGGATAGCGCCGCGGGCGTTTTTCGTGGCAGGCGTATCGGCAACGTCTCCCGGCGACACTGGAGCTTACCAGAACCGTGTGGGACTCTTTTTGGGAATTGTGTTCGGCCTCCCGGAGGTCTCTTGGGGCCTCTTGGGGATCCCTTGGGGCCCCCATTGGGCCCTGGGTTGATAAGGAGGTTAGGGCCAGGGTGGCGTAGAGACGGCATCAATCCCAGGTTTCGTCGCCGCTCCCCGGCGCAACGTAAATGCGGCTGCGTTGACAGCGCCGCGGGCGTTTCTCGTGGCAGGTGTCTCGGCGGCGTCTTCGGGCGACATGGGGGTTTATCCGAACCGTTTTGGAATCTCCTGGGAAATTCAGTTCGGCCTCCTGGGGGTTTCTCGGAGCCTCTTGGGGATCCCTTGGGGTCCTCTTGGGGCCCATGATTGATGAGGGGGCTGGGGTCAGGGTGGCGCAGAGTTGGCATCGATCCCGGGTTTTGTCGCCGCTCCCCGGCGCAACGAACATGTAGCGAGATTCGGCTTCCACATGCGGCGTCAGCGTCGCAGGAACGCTGCGTGGTCTTAGGCCATATATCAAGGGCTTCGCCCTCTGCCGCCAGCCCTTCTTTACTGGTGCGCGCTGCTGCCTGGATAGCTCCGCGGGCGTTTCTCGCGGCAGGCGTTTCGGCAGCGTCTTCCCGCGGAAGTGGGGCTTACCTGGGGTCGTTTTGGATTCTCTTGGGGAATATGTTCGGCTTCCTGGAGGCCTCTGGTCGCTTCTTGGGGGTCTCTTGGGGCCTTCCGGGGGGCCTCCTCGGAGCCCTGCTGGAGCCTCGCGGGGCCCTGTCGGGGCAGAACGGTTGAATTTGCCAGTTCGTCGGCTCTTTTTTTTTGTTGCCTTTATTTGGATTGTTTCAAATGCGTTTGGGGCCGTCCTGGGGGCAGATTCGACCGCCTCGGGGCCTTCGTCGGCCGTCTTGGAGCCATTTTCGGGGCTTCCCGGGTTGTCTTGAGGGCCTCTGCGGCCATCTTGGGGCGACGTTGGGAACTCGGTGGTCCGTCTCGGGGAGTCGGGAAGCCGAAATGGCGAGAAGGTGAAAACCTTTGAACAAGCAAAGGGGGATCATTGTGCGTCGCTTCTTGGGGCACTCTTGGGACGCCTCTTGGGGACCTCCTGGGCCGCCTTGCGGCCGTCGAGGGTTGCGTGGGGGCCCTCTCGGGTCGCCCAGGCCTCTCGCGGCTCTCTGAAGCGCCTCTTGGAGCCATATTGGAGGCCTTTCGGACCGCTCTGGCAGCGCAGCGGTGTCGCCGCGAAAATCTTGAGGTGGCTGGGGGCGCCGGGAGTTTTGGCCCACTTGCGTCTGTCGGCTGTTTGGTAGCGCAGCGGGCCTGCCAGCAGACGCGAACAAGAAGCATGGCACGCAGCAGAATATCAACCTCACAGCATGCAGCAGCAACGCCTTCACAGCCTGGCGACTCCAGGGGCTGGCGGATTTGACAGAGACGGTTTTCTGCGACGTGTATTCTTTCTTGCGCGACGAGATCGCTGCCTATGGCGAGGGCCACAACAGCAGTTTGATAGTGGAGTATTTGTTTAACGCTGCGAGGCGGCTCAGCCGCCAGAACCCGCAGCACAAACTTGAGCCAATGACCACGTTGCACCGCTTATCATTCTCGGATTCGACGGCGAAGGAGTTCGGGAGGCCAGCGCCCCAAGTTACTAGAGCTGCGAGGTCCGCCAGCGCGGGGGCGCTGGCTGACGATTTCTTCGAGGTCCACCCTGACGAGTGTTCTTTGGGAGAGGATTTCATGCAGAAGCTGCAGGCGGCCAAGCCTGCGTGGCCGAACTTGGCAGCAGACAACCACCGCATGCCCCCGCAGCTCGCGAGCACCGGTGGATGCTATGGCTGACGAGAGCATGATGGCGAAGCTCTGGCTTGCGAAGCTTGCCGTGCCAGGGACGTACGCGAGGAGGAATGGCGAAGCTCGCGGCGGTCTTGTGATTTCTTCGACCAGGATGGGCGTCACCCGCTTGATGTGCGGCGTCTTCAAGACGAACGTAAAGTATTTTTTCGATTTCGGGACGATCAAGAAGGGCTTCATCAGGTCCGACATTGTTTGCGACGAGAAGGAGTGGCGCTGCCAATGGGTTGAGCCCGTCGTCCCTGGCGAGCCGCAGAGGGAGCCGGGCATGAGCGCCGATGTTATTCACGTGATGGCAGTTGCAGGAGTTCATTCGTTGCTCGAATTTTGTTGCTTGCGCGGCTTCCCTCGCTGGACGATCGCAGCGCTGAAGGACTTGTTCGTCGAGGTCGGTTGTTCCATGCCCAAGTCGGGTCGCGCGCCGGCCGTCGAGTCCAAGCTGATCGAGGAGCTGTGCAAGCACATCTTCAAGGATAAGTTCAACGACGACCTGCTGAAGGAGGTTCTACGCAACAGGTGTTGCGTGCAGGACGCGATGGGCGAGTTGCTGGTGAAGAGCGCCTTGATGCCTGACGATGGGTCTGGTCTGCTGGATGGCGCCATGGAGGATGAAGGTCTGGCGGAGGAGCTGCGGAGCGTGAAGGGGCAGATGCTGCAGTTAAAGGCCAAGCGGCTCGCTAAGGGCAGCGCGCTTCGCAGCGCTGCGTCTCCTCCCAGCGGCCCCCACGTCCCTGCCGCCGCGCATCACGAGAGGAAGCCTCCGTTGCTGCCAGGGGGAATGACGACCGAGCAGGCCCGCGAATTCTTGCCGCCTGGCGCCCAGCTTTCAAAAGAGCGTGAGTGGCACAATCGTTGGCGGGTAAAGGCCCCGCACAGCGGCGGCAAGAGTTGCAGTTTCGATCATGAGGAAGCTGGCGCCGACAATGGGGCCTTGCTTGAATGTTTGCGCTTCGTTTGGGGCGCGTGGGCACGGAGCGCCGGGGGGGGGCAATCCGTGGGATCTTGCAGACGATCTCTGATTGCAGGTGGCATTGCAAAAATACTAATAAGCATTCTTTTCTATCAGACCTCACACTTTCAGCCAAAAGCGGCTGTTGGTTCTAGCAGGCAACGCCCGTGATGATGATCACAATTGTTATCAGGCGTCCTTCCTTGTTCATCCTTCCCATGCCCCCCGTCGCTGCGG